AGTGTGACCCATTGCACCACTAAATGTGGCTGGGTCAAATTGACCCGGGAAGACCACAGGTGTTATAAATTTCAATAAAACACACATAATTCAACAAATATAGTCATAATTAATTTGACTTGCAAAGAGCATAGCAGGGAAGCATCCATGTAATTTTCAGACAATTATATGGAAGAAAACCAAAGTTATGACATTTTAGATTTTGAAATCGGAGGTTTAAGGTAAATGTGACATTCTAATAATATATTACCATTATAGTACTGTAGTGCTGCAGAGATGTTAGTTTTAAGTGAAAATAAAACTTGTGTTCCCCATCATCATAATATAATGTTAAAATAATCACAATATGAGCGAATCGTCCAACCTTAAGTGTAATCATTGAAATCTGCTGCTATTGTAGGTGGCTGGAATTAAAACTGATGTGGATTTACAAACGATCCTCTGAGGCCCGGCTCAGGTCTCACTCTCCACCTTGCTGCTTTTGTCAGTGGGAATCAAACATGACACTCCCAGTAGGCAAACAGAGAGATCGCAGACAGCTGGGCAACTGACCAGAGGGGGCAACAGGAGCGGTGGGGCAGTTAGCCTGTTAAAAGTCTTCCACAGCCTCCTCCTCTTCTTGTTTTTCCACAAAACAGTTCGCCCCAACTCAGCCTGTTTCGTCTTTAAAGGAAAACAACAAAAACCAGCGGAAGTTAAAAACAAAGCAATGAAAAAGATGAAGGGATGTGAGGACCAGAAAGAGACAGACGGGTGGTGGGCGAGCTGAGTGAGAGGGCGATTTTGGGCGGGTCATAAGTTAGAGGGCATGAGTCATGCTGCTGAACTCACAATCTGCAGTATTAATAAAGCCTTTCACAGCACGAGTGTTTGAAGTGTAGCAGGACCCCGCCCAGGAACACACGGAGAAAAACCCGAGTTCACAGCCAACAACGCAGCCCCGACACAGAACAACACCGAACTCTTCCACAAGCAGCACAAAGAAACCAGGATAAACCGCCAATA